GCATTGTTTACTGCAGGGTAATCTGTTGATACTGATATTATGTTACCTTTATTTTAATAGATTTTTTGGCAGCTGGTTGACATACTTTTTCTCTTTTGTGTGTGTTAGAATTTTGTTTTGATAGTTTATTGCAATATTTATGCATTTATTTGTTTTTTATTTTTTTTGTTACTTTTTATCTTGAGAGTTTTAGCACATAGTGAGGATCTTTATAATTAATCTGATGTTTGGTGTGCTCATTAATACAGTTACTATATTAAAATCATTTGAGCCGTGTCACGACAAAACCAACAAAAACCGCGCAGTCTGATCAGGATCCATGCTGTTTGTTATCAGTTTCTCTACTTAATAGAGTTGGTAAGGGAACAGCATGGATCCTGATCAGACTGCGCATATGTGCAGGCTGGTCTGGATCCATGCTGGTCGCAAACCCATTATGTTAGTTTTGTCGTGACGCGGCTCATTTCTACATACAGGTGATTTCTGGGCCATATTTTCTAATATGGATCATCTGAAATTAGATCTAGTAAGGTTTCTAGGTTAAATCGAAATAAAAGTGTCAATTATAACTTTAGATACCACATTTTTTCTAATCTGTAAAGAGTGACGATTTTTTGGTCAAGATAAAAAAAGTTTCATCTTGAGTTAGAAAGCTGGTGCATTTGGCACATGGTTTTGATCAAAGAAAAAATTGCTTTAAGTCTCCTTCCATTTTAACAACATTATGATTATTGCTTTGCAGAAATGATAACAAGACATTAACAGATTGTTTCTATAAATGGTATAAAATGATACAGAATGGTGGAAAATTTATGTTGTAGTACTATAGTATATCTGAATGTATCTTTGTTATATGTCAGTTTCATGCCAGATTATTGCCATTCTTATGTGCAATTAATTAATATTGACCTGTATAACACTGTGATAACTTATGATAGTTAACTGACAATCAACTGGAAATAAAATGACAGGTCACTGGTATATGCAGTGATAAAAAACTGACAGCAAACTTAATGTACATTGACAATTTTCACATGTTTTTAAAATAAGGTATTGATTTCTATGATCAATTTAGCAATACATGTATTTTTTATAAATGGTGTGCCAAATTGTAATTAAATATTTTAATTGTAAGTTGATAATAAAACTCAAAAATATTGCTATGTCAATTATTTGTTTGTGTGATATCACCTGATACAAAGTGAGTTTAAGGAATGCTCAATGTCCATTGTATGACATGCATCTGTTCACCTCTTCAGGTACGTATATTAACAGATGCTTGTTGTTCAGCTTCCGGCGGGATTCAGACCCAAAACGACGTGAATGCATTTAAATTCAAAATCTATTTATTTTCCTTAAAATAGTCACGAGCATATTATCTGCTAAAATTATAATGCTTGTGAAAGAAATTGTAATATATTTCCTCTTACAAATTTAAAAGTACCTGTATATTCGTCCAAAAGTATGATATTTTCAAGGTAGTTAATTTAATATGTAAAGGTTTTGTGTAAAATGATGCGAGTTTGTAAGTACTTAGCCTATCTATCTCGTACACTGAATCGATTGTCTTTTGTCAATAGGTACACCAACTGTTAAGAAGAGAGGACTTTATCTGATTGAAGATTACAATAGGATTTTGGTTCACCATTTAGCCTGTGATATTGACAACATCTTAATTGTTTACATTTGAGACATTCCAAACCACACGACATCATACATGGTGTTTTTGTTCGCGTTCTTACTTTATTTGGTTAAAATCCTTTTCATTTAGTAGTTATTTTTAGATCAATATTTTACTATTGTGACTTTAAAGATACAGTATCACTGACATCCCGGCAGAGCACCGGTCGATGATCCGGGAACAACCGGGGTACATCCGTAACTCTGCCGGCAACGTCCGGGATGATCCGGGAACATCCGGCATTCGACCCCGGATGGAATAAAATATTTAATATCACCGGGGTGGTCCGGGATGATCCGGGAAGTTAGCTTTGCCGTCTTCATCCTTAGCTCTGCCGGGAACGACCGGGGTTACACCGGGGAAGCACCGTAGCTCTGCCGGCACAAACCGGGGATGATCCGCAGTATGATATAGCCGGTAGAGCTACGGCAGAGCCCCGGTGAATGCCGGCAGAGCCCCGGAAGATGACGATGGTGCTACGGTTGATCACGGTAAGGATTTTAGAAAATCATCATGAATTACTATTCCGGAACAATAGATATTATATTAAATAAAAATTATGTATCAATGTAATCATTTTCGCGCGTTTTCAATCCACCGGGGTTCTGCCGGGACTCTGCCTGGATCGTCCTGGGCTCTGCCGGGGCTCTGCCTGGATCAACTGGGCCTCTGCCTGGGTCAACCGGGGCTCTTCCGGCGTCATCCTGGAACGACCAGGAAAGCACCGGCATGAACCGTAGCTTCACCTGGCCTCTGCCTTGATGATCCGGAGCGCATCCTGGGTGGTTAGTTGGGAATTTCCGTAGTGCTGCCGGGTTTAGTGTGACCGCAACAATAATTTCACCCCGGATCATCCCGATAACTTACCGGGATGGTCCTGGGCTCTGCCGGCAGTAAGTGAGACTACAGCTTTAGCAAATGAAATAAATAGCATGCAATAATATTCAAGAAAAGATGTTGATGGCGAAAATATGGTACGAAATATATATTTCCTATTTTTCAAATGATTTTTAAAAAAAGTTCATAATGTTATTTGACTGCGTTTTATCCCTTCTAAAATAAAATGAAAGACTACATTATGTTTTCCGTTTGCTGTTGTATTAACAAGATACATGTATTATAAAAATTATGTTCTGGCAATTGTCATCACTAGGTCTCACTGCCTTTTAAAATGTTTTAATTGTTTTAAGTTTAGTCTGTAGTTCGGTTGAATACAGTATTATATTATATAATGTAGGCACATTATGCCTCGGTAACAAATAAATTTTTACTTCCTTAGAAAGGGCAAACAAGTTTAATAGCCAATAACATTTAAATTACGGAACTAGATCATGTTTAATGCTTGTTTCTTAAAAAAAGTAACACTAAATGTGAAATAATTTGTCACAAGTGTAACAAAATGTGAGCAAAGTAGTATTTTGACTTCCATACAAAATACTAAATCACTTCAAGTATTTGTACTATTAATTGCCAAAAAACATCAGAAGAAAAAGATGGCTCAGGTAACTGGCCAATGAATATCATTTTTGAAACAATATAAGTACACTGTAAATCAAAGTGCTGCAGCACTGAATGAGACGGACATGCAATCGGAGAGACATTAAGGCTTTTTTTAGAAAAAAAAAACAACACAAAAGATATCACAGAGAAAATTTGTTCCATACAAGTTCGAGATTTGTAGAGCAATATATTTTATGTGTCCCATTCTGATATAATTCAGATTTTCTACTTTCAAGCAGAACAAGTCCAAATTTTTAAATACAGAATGAAATTTATGCCTAAAAACTCTTGTCAAACTTGTAAATCAGTGTCCTTATCGATTTATTCCAAGAAATGATATGTAAATAGAAAAAAACTGTCAACGAAATATTTCTAAAATAAAACCATGCAAATAAATTTTTGGTTAAAATCATCAGCAATTAATGGTGTATTTTTTTTAGATTTTTTTTTCATTTACGTCACTTAAGCACTACAGTGTTTAGTTGTCTCTTTCAATTTCACACTAAATTCCATTTTCAACTTGTTTGCTTCTTACAATTGTATAGAATTTCTTAAAGTATTGCATGTAAACAAAGTAAGTATCCGCTGGTTTATTACATGTATAATGTGTACTCGTCTGAAAGTTGCAGAATCTATTTTTAGAATAGTGTTATCTTCTGGTCGAAGGCTATTATAATCTCATAGCAGGTTACCTAGAAAACTATGTAAACCGACAAAACACAAGAATCGGAAGTAGAACTGCTATTATAACTTCCTTCAATAAAGATTACCATGAAAGACTACATGGTGGTAAAGTGTTGAAAAACTCCCTTGTTACATGCATTTTCAAAAATACTAACCAGTGTAGTGTAATAACTGCTGGATATTCAGCTAAACCCGCGGTACGAGTCACGAAAAGAGTTCTTCTTTTATTAATGCGCGAGTTATTCTAAAGTCACGAAAAACTTTTGATCTGTTAAGAAAAATGTTTTGTTTAATGGGGAAATATTTATTTCCTGCTTATAATTTCTATGAATTATTGAGCTTACTCCTTAATTATAGCATAATTTGCGGTCCTACTTTTTCGACAGCGGTAAATCGTTTCAGCAGTTATTTGCATAATTGCGCAATAATACTACGGGGCTACAGCGTTTTTATCAATCAAATACGTTTATATTTTAACTTGGATAACTTAATTTGAAATTGAAAAGGCTAAATATGGAAGTTTTTAAGATATCCCGACGAAGTATGGGAGTTTCATAGGATCAAATTCATGTACTATTTCGTGGGCTGTTATTCGGTTGAGGACACATTGCGCGATTGTAGCCAACGAAATCCCATGTGTAGATGACATAGCTCTGAACGCGCCTGAGGGCGCGTCCGTCGCAAAAAATAAAGTAAAAGCGTTTCTGGAGCATAACTGGCCTTTAATTAATTAAATGATTTGAGAAGCCGTTTCTTTGAGTAGACATTTACCTATTCTGGTGTAACGATATGAATCACCAGTCACATACATACACATTACAAAGCCAACGTCTCTACGAAGTGCATGGGTATTACGGTCACCCATTGTTCGCCGTACGTCCAAACTTTCCTCGTACTTTCAAGCACGTACCTATATTTTTGATGAAATTACACTTTCAAAATTATACAAATGATATTTCTTTCCAGATGTTTCGTGTAGCTGTATGTAGTTTTGTTCCGTTTTTAACCTGTATCGCATATAAAGTACTCTATACTTCTATACACATAATAACAAGTGGCGTCCAAATATGGCTCGTAAAGCTCGTGAAAAACGTAAGACCAAAGGCCCAAACATATCATTAGAAATGACGGACTGTTTAATTTTTTACATATTTATTTGTAGAAAAATAATAATAATTAGTACATCTTAACAAAAAAGCATGCATTTTATATCAACGGAATGGTTTAATATTAATATTATTGCAATGACATGTATACAGAACATGAACAAAGCCATGTTCATGGTACACATTCTGTGTGGGTAACTGTAACAAATAATAGTATGACAACGCCATAAGAATAATTCCGGTATTAGTATTTAGTATTTTGATAACCTTTAACTAAGCAATGGATAGACAATCCTTTTAAAGCAGAATGTGTCCACTACATAAATTATGGTGACTGGGAAAATGTTAGTTAAAGACACTTTGAAGTTTTATATTGACAGACCGATTTACAAGTCCTATAGTAGCACGTTAGTGTTTCATATACTAGTAACAAAACATGATGGACATGAATGTTGAAATGGAAATAAATGCACACATCAATATATAAACATATAAATGATAATATTTTATCTACAATTTTATGAAGGTTGTATTAAGACTATCACATGTCTTGTTTGATAAAATGATCTAACTATAATACTGGAAATAGCTTCATCAAATACGATTGTTGCATTAAAGCACTGCATATCATCTGATACATTCAAATTACATTACTAAATGCATAGTGAAAGTCCTTGCCAAATGAAACCCTGAAAAAAAACATAAATGCAAATTCGGGTAACCAAATACAAATGTATGTAAAAACACAGTTTTTTTATAGAGTACGTCTGGCTTCACTCATAAATGCCACAAGAAAACTGATATATACAGGTAAAGATTATTTACATAATTATGTCCCACCAGTGTGGCTGTATATTTATGTACATACTTTTTTCAAACCATAGTCAAAACAGTTGTTTTTTAGCTGTCAAATACAATGTACCAACCAATTATCAATTTGTACATGTAAACATTATTACATGTATATGTACAACACTTTTATTGCACAAATTTTACTGAAGTAAACAGTGAATAAAGATGATCCACTAACCTTGAGATGAATTGAAACATAAAACACATAAAACCTTAGAATGATTATTTACAACATTAATGACTTTATTATGGAGAACGTTTATACGACTCGTATATAAACCCATAAATCCGTATTCACAACTCAATCAAATAATAGAAAATACCAAGTCTTTGACAAGGTTGTGGTGTCTTTCTTCTTCCTTTGATTATGAATTAAGAATTTATAAATAAATAAATAGATCTAAATGAGAAGTTTTATACACACTATTTTAGTAGGTTCCCTTATTTACAATAAATTAAAACAATGTGTTTATTTACTTTGTCACTTTGTGCAATAATAAATATATATCCTTTGTCACCAGCAACTTGCACAAATCATAGCTGGTCTCAGAAAATAGTCTCATTTCTGACTCTTACGATATGTTTAGATCCTGCGATCTAGTCGTCTTTACACACTTGAAGATGTCAATCAATCAACCATTCCAATTATCATTCTTACGTTAAAAAAGTTATCATGAGATGTCCAGGAAACTGTATCCAGAAGATCGGTAAATTTTCATCAAATTTATCTAGAACATTTCATTTTGTTCCGAGAAAGCTTTACTCCGTCCAGAAAAAACTTCACTGCGTGGTGGTAATGCAGGTAAATTTATCTGATTATCTGCCATTGCTTGTTTGACACGCAATGATTGCCGTTTCTGGAACAATGTGACATAACATTAGCAGATTAAACACACAAAAAGGTAAGAATTGATGTCAAAAATGCGCAATAGTTTCAATATTTTCAAAAGTCTTATGCATAAACCAGACAGCCTGTTCTATGGAAAGATATATATTGGATGACATTACAAAAATATTTTTTTATAATGGACGGGAAAATAATCCAGAGTATCGCAGTCTTTCTATTTGTCTTGATGCATCATCAAAGGGTAAAAAGAATGTTAAAAAATATAACACGTAAGTTTTACCTTTGCTTTCTTTAGAAAACCTTTAATCTTTATTCCACCTTTTTTATCTTCTCTCAGCTGAACCTGAAAAAATGTTATGATTTGTTTAAAACTATTGCTTCATTAGAGGAACATCGTAGAAATTGAATATGGATTGAAAGGCTAATTTAACAAATAGGCTTGCTCTGGGGGCCGTTTAATCAACGGGTCCCAGATGTTTTATAATTTAAAAATACCTATGGTTCAATACTCTAGTTTTTCGGGTTGTTTTAAACAAAGAAATCGCCTAAAGTACTTCACTAAAACTACATTAAAATAAATTACCTCAGAACCATCGTCCTCTTTCATTGAAGTATCAGAATACGTCGAGGCTGTGCTTGAACCTGAAATATTTCGTATGATTTATGAATTTGCTAAATATTTTCATTTATAAATCATATGAGCCGTGTCATGACAAAACCAACATAGTGCGTTTGCGACCAGCATGGATCCAGACCAGCCTGCGCATCCGCGCAGTCTGATCAGGATCCATGCTGTTCGTTATCAGTTTCTCTACTTGTTATAGATTTTTGTAAGCGAACAGCATGGATCCTGATCAGACTGCGCGGATGCGCAGGCTGGTCTGGATCCATGCTGGTCGCAAACGCACTATGTTGGTTTGGTCGTGACGCGGCTCATATATATTTTAGTCCAATATCTACATAAATGGCATGCTAGTAAAACATTGTGCAATGCAGTATCCATCTTATTTCTGATGATATTCTGTTGCATAAAAAGCAAATTCAGACTCAAAATTTTAAAATAGAATTTCCCCCATAAGGTCATGAGATTGTGAAAACGGCATATTTCGCTGTCTTCCATTACTGAAAGGTTGATATAACAAAGTAGCGACACAAATCTTGTCATGGCACCGATTTCTAAATATAAAAGAATTTTGGCGGAATTATATGAGCATTAGTGTCAAAATAACGCACACCATTTCAGAACATTCTAATTGTTGTTTATTCTTCTTCTCTCTCGCACACCTTAAATATCTAGGCCAGCAACGGTCCAATTTAGCTATTTCTTTGCTGGTATTTGCTTTAGTTTGCCTACATTAAGTCACACCTAATCTTTATTAATATTTTAGTTTAAATAAATTGAATTTAATTGAGTATAATTGTCATGGTTTTACTTTAGCTTGTCGTCCCAAATATTATAAATAACACATAAAATACCCTTATCAAACAGGAAGAAAAATAATTATTTATCTTTCTTAGATACATGTCATTTGTTTACAATTTTCTTTTCTTTTTTATCAGTGACATTATTTGGTATCCCGTAGTGATGATCTGGAAATTCCCCTAAACTTTTTATTTTTCTTCAAGTTACATCTTTTTATAATGATTTAAGTACAATGATAAAGATGGAGAAGATAACAATAAATTGTTTACATTAGCGATACCTTTGGGGATATCCCAAGTATAAACATAGTTTTTAAACCAATAATTCTCGAAATAATATTTTTTTTCCTCCCCCCTCCCCCTTTGTTTGGTTGATTGGATGATTATAGAATTAAGCCATATCAACATAGGAACTTAAATTTTGGAGGAAGACTAGTGCCTTAGAACATCTGAAATGTTCCTTCCGTCGCCTTTAAAGCCATTAAAGTACCCCGTTATCAAACTGGATAATTTCCTCTAGGCCTACTGATATAAAGTACTTTTTCATCTTTAATACCAATTTTGTCCTAATGGCAGTAAAAAATGGAACATAAATCAAAAATCGATCGACCTTTGACCTGTTTATATTAGTTAGACGGAGATTAAAAAAGACACATAATAAATGTCCTTATTTAACCAGGAAAGCTTACTTTATTTATATACTTACTTGATCGTGCTGAATCTCTGTAGTACGACTTTGCACTCTAAAATGAAATGAAAATAAAAAATATGACAAGTTTTATTACAACTTTACAATCTAAATACATGGTATTTATATAAAGTACCGCTTTGCATTCACTGTTATTTATGGATCATTTATTCTGTATTCGTAAACTACCAATTTCTAACCAGTTTTATGTCTTAACTTCCTCATAGAGAGATAATTTGCATAATCTTCTTATTTCTTTCGGACCCACGTTTTGAATGATCGAATACAAATCAAGTTAATAAATACAATCGATTTATAAGGAAGCTTGCATCTAAAGTTTTCTTCTTTTTTTTTTTTGGATAAATTAAATTTTGTCAAAGAAAAAAAATGAGAAGCTGCATAATATTCCAGATTTCTAGTACATGACACTTATCAGTGAAAGTTGAAAAAAAATCTTAAAAAGGTCAAATGTATACCAAGTTTCTTTTGACAGAAATAGCCTCGTTACTAAGAATAGACGGTTCTGACAAACTTCTGTTTTTCTTTCCGAAAAACAACTTTTTCAACTTTGAATTTTTCTTTGGCTTTTTATGCTCTTCTGGAGAAACAGGGGGTTCCTGAAAATATGCGTTTGAATATATCATGAATTGTTGTTAATGGGATAAACATTTATGAAACTAACATTAATACCCAATATTAGTTTTGTTATAAATTATTTTTACCTTTATTAAGCAAAATTAAAATTTAAAATAATAGAAAATGTCAATAAATCAAACTTTAAGATCACTCATTGTTTAAATTGAGTTATATAGTTATTCAAATAAGGAAATGACCTTTATTTTTTATTAGCGTGCTGCATTTAAGGTTTTGCTTTCTTTTACATTTAGTATATATATTTTGCATTTAACTTGTACATTTTTTACGATGATTTGTGAGAGATGATGGTAAAATACTCTGGTGTAATGTCAGAATAACTTACAGCCATGCCGAGCATGTGAACCACGTCTTTTCTATGATGCTCCACGTGTATATCAGTTTCATCATCCGTTCCTAACAGCGTTCTTCTCTCTGGATCTGATAAATAAATCATCTGTACCATTTTATATCAGTCTGAGCCAATCTTCCTTATTTGTCACAACGATTATCATTAAAGGTGGATGTTGATAATAATAATAATAATGATAATAATAAAAGGTTGATGATGATGATAATAATAAAAACTTTAAATTATCGTCAGATCATGTTATTGACTAATTTATATCCAAGTACTTGTACAATTTTTGATTTAGAAAAGACAATAAAGTCAATTTAGATAGTTATGTTGGTTGATAACAGACAGTTAAATGCATCTTTTTTCTTGCATGAACGTCTGTAGAAGCAGCTAAGCTTTCTACATGCTTGTGCGAGCTATGTTCCAATGATAAAACTAACAGGGCCGTCATTGCAGTAACGTGCGTGGAAAATAACGGTGCGTGATTTTATCCGTTAATGCACGTTGTGTTTTCCTGCGTGCGATGTTTTTATGCAAAAATGATAATTATTGATGTCTTTTTTCCCATTTTGTACAACTGAGTATAGTCCAATACAAAGAAAATATGAAACATTTAAGCAATAATGGCTTGAATAAATGGCGGAGAGACAAATGTAAGAAGGTAAATGAGATGATTTTGGAAGGATGTAAGAATGACAACAAAGTTATTAACGTTAAGGATAACAAATAAGGGACTTATCGTTCTACACTTGCTTAATTCGGTAGGTTTTGCGTTTTTAGAGGTTATATTTCATAAAATTATTTAACTATAGAGAAAGTCGACATATTTGACCAGAGATTCGTGTCATTGACTGACACATTTCACCAGAGATAGTGTTATATACTGATATAAATGACCAATCAGAAAATAGTGAAATATTGACATAATTTATAACCACAAAAATTTTATAGAATAGTGCCACATGTAACAAATCCGACCAAAATCTGAGTTGTATTCCGAAACATTTGACCAGAGATAGTGTTATATACTAGCAGACAACCAGGAATAGTGTTTTATACTGACACATTTAACCAGAGAAAGCGTTGTAAACTGACAGTTGACCAGAGAAAGCGTTATAAATTGACACATTTAACCAGAGAAAGTGTTATAAATTGCCACATTTAACCAGAGAAAGTGTTATAAATTGACACATTTAACCAGAGAAAGTGTTATAGATTGACACATTTAACCAGAGAAAGCGTTATAGATTGACACATTTAACCAGAGAAAGCGTTATAGATTGACACATTTAACCAGAGAAAGCATTAAAAATTGACACATTTAACCAGACATAGTGTTTTATGCTGACAGTTGACCAGAGAAAGTGTTATATACTGACACATTTAACAGAAGATTGTGTAATATATAGACATACTTAACATATGATAAATCCTTAGTGTACCTACCAAGGTCAAAGGAACGTTTGGACATTAAGGATGAACTCGATGAATTACGAGATGACATCAAATCGGATTTTTTATAATTTTCTACAAACATAAATCAATAATTCTCTTTGATAAATTGCAACAAAACAGACTAGACATGATGAAATCCGTTTATTCTGTGTTTTATGAAAAGACAATCGTGTTAAACTGATTGTATTCAACCCCTGGCAAAAAATTACTTATCTTTTTTGTCATTCTTATATTATCTTATTGCCAGACTGTCTTTTTTTATCGCTATTTATTTTTAATTTTAATTTAAAAATGTCAAAATATAGAACATTATTATGCAAAACAAAGGTGTAACTGCATTACTTTTCGTTTAACCAGCTATAGTGTTACATACTGACATAACTGACCATATATAGCATTACAAACTGACATATATATTTTATAACCGTAATAAATGTTATCATACTGACGCACTTGATCATATATAGTTATATACTGACAAATTTGACTAGAAATAGTGCTCTTTAATAATGCCATCTATACCAACAATACTTAGTATCAAAGCACAGAACGCGCTGAATTTGTTTGGGTCTCAGAATGTCAGAAAGGTGAAGGTTGTGAGATTATAAACCAATTTGTTTTTGTATAGTGCCACCAATGCTTTCCGGCGTTTTAATTGTAGAAAATTGGCTATAAGACTAATTGCAACACTTATATACAATTCAATGTTTATTTGACTTAAACAATTTGAAAAAAAAAATGAGTTGCCGTAACAGGGATTTGAACTCCAGACCTATCGCTTCCTAAGCGAGCGCGCAACCCCTCGGCCACGGTGAAGTTAAATATTTTCTGTCTGTAGAAAACCATATTATTCTAAATTAGGGTTTGTAACCCTTATTATGTTGTTTAACACTTATGTAAATAATCATGGAGCTTACTTTATGCATGTATATATCTATAAAGAATAAACCCATATTAGAAATCTTCGGGAACTATTTCGCTTGAAAATTAATGCGCCTGTCATTTGACCATCTCCCGTTAGTGTACATATAAAAGGAAGTAACCGCTTTAAAAAAGCGGACTACTTTCGGCATTTGCAATTAACAGCATTAGGGTCTAAAACTTCGCTACCATTATTTGTTTGGTCTGACGACCAAAACAAATAAAAATAGTTTTGTTATAAAAAGACAGGCATATTCACAGTTGTTCTATACTTACACATTTGACCAGAGACACAGTGTTAACTAGAGATAGAGTAACGTTATATACTAACATATCTGACCAACGATAATATACTAATATATTTAACAAGAGATGAGGTTATATACTAACATATTTAATTGGAGATGAGGTTATATACTTATACATTTAACTACAGATGAGGTTATATATGGACAAATAAAATGTGTTACTCAGACATAACTAAATAGAAATAATGTTATATACTGACATATTTCACCAGAGATAAAGGATATATTGACATATTTAATTAGAGATGAGGTTGTATACTAATATATTTAACTATATAAATGAAGTTATCTGCTGACATGTTTAACCAGAGATGAGGTTATATACTGAATTCGTAACTGCACTAAGGTGACGATATACTGACATATTTAACTAAAAGATAATGAAATATATTGACATATTTAACCAGAGGTTATGTGATATACTGACAAACTTAACCACAGGTAGCTTTATAAACTGACATATTAAACAAGATATAGCCTTATATACTGACATATATAACCAGAGAAAATGTTATGTACTGAGTTATACAACCAGAGAAAGTGTTATATACTAACACATAACCAAAGATAATGTTAAATACTGACCTATATAACCAGAGATAATGTTATATACTGACGTATATAACCAGAGAAAGTGTTATATACTGACACATAGAACCAGAGAAAGTGTTATATATTGACCTATATAACCAGATAAAAATGTTATATACTAAGACATCGACCACAGATTGAGCTGTAGTGTACCTACCACGCCTAGAAGAACGTTTGGACTTTAAGGACGATCTCGATGAATTACGAGATGTCTTCAAACTGGGTCTTTTACAATTTTCTATAATCATATCCAAATTCATTTAAGTCTGGGTTTTACGTGGTATTTTAGTAAACATCAACATGACAGACTAGGAAAGCGCAAAATAGCGTAGAAATGGCATTATAAAGAGCATGATGTCGAATGGATTAGAATTGCCACTGCATGGACACTCGATCCTGTATAAATGATTTATACATTTTTCTGTATCAAAGGTGCTAGTCGCATTTATTTGACCTAAATATGTTTAATCTCGTTGTTTATGCAATATTATATCATAAATTAAAAAAAAAAAAAAAAAAGGGAAAAAATCTGATTTTTTTTCTGATCTGTCAGGACTAGCATGCATCACTGAGTCGATATTATCAATCGGAACTTTTCGGCCCTTTCCGTTAAACTTCGGATAATAGCCGAGATGTTCCAAGTGTCGATGCCTATGTACACATTTACATGAAGTAAGACAAGGATATGAAGTAAGAAAAAATCGGTTCACGCATAAATGACTAAATGAAATAAATGACAGTCAGCTACTTGTTAATTATAAATTCACATATGACACTTACCTGCCGCTAATGGCGACATCTTTGGTGACATAGGTAGATACTCATCATCGTCACTCGAAACCTCCACTGAAATGAATATTATATATTGGACAAATCGAAACAGTAAAGAAAAGTTTGAATTGTACTGAAAACCACTTTAATATGTTCGTTAAATTTGAATTGCACTGTAATTGAAAGAAAAGGAATTATGTATTTACAAAAGCAAAATGATCTTGTTAGATCACATCCTTTTAAGACATGCAATATAAAAGTTGATGTGTAAATGTATATGATACTGATACGTGACAAATCAATAATAATTATTCAGATGCTTACCCGAACCGCAAAATCCACCATCATGCGAGTTTTCCCTGGGCTTTTTCAGAGAATGCTGGCGTAGTTTTCCATCCCCTACAAAAGCAGAAAATGTATAATATATGTATTCAAATCTAAAAGAAAATTTGTAAAAATAAAACAAAACAATAACAAATGATAACATTTTTTTGTTAGATATCATTGTGTTGTTTCTTCTATTAACTTTATACGTCGAACTATAACTGATATAGCCACTTTAATGCGATGGACGGATATAAAAGCAAGCAATTAATAAGCTGTCCCACGATCCAAACTAAATAAACAGTCAGCTAAACAATGTTTAATAGCTTTGCGGAAAGTCTTCAGGCCTATATAGTCTGACAGAGTTTCTGGCTTTTGGAAGCTTAATTTTACTCTCTTAAATCATTCAAACTCAAACTAGGAAAATAGTTCTTCATTGATGACTAGAGGAGATATAAGCACTTATGGACCGGAACAATTGTTACATCTTAAAGACAATTAAATTATTAATTTGACTGTTACCTTTTTCATTAAATTCAGAACGGATGTTTCCCACACTCATGTCAATATAATTACTGTCACTATAATGTCTGGGATGAGGTGCAGGGGGTGGGGGATTGTCCCCTATAATGGTTGAAAGTCTCGGGTAGCCAGGTGGCACAGATATTCCGCTATCACGTTCCTTTTCTGTGAGAACCAAACAAGTATGAACAATAATTCGGAAAGCTTTTATGGCTTGTCAAAATCACTATCCTAATCAGGCATTGTTCAAATCCGTGAATTGTGCATCGATTTGCGAAATTTTTAAAATAAATGTTCTAACATATGCCACAAAGTTTACGAATGTTTCAGCAGCTATGACCTTGATAATCGGTCTGAATTTTAAAAAGAATGACTGCTACAATATATATGTTGATATTTTATGCCACAATGGTTAGAATGGTGGCTAACATTAATTTGACTGGTATTTGAATGCAAATTTAACACTTTAAATTGGCATACTTTTCGTATTAAAATATGAAAGCTTTGTTAATTATCATAGCCACATTTAATAGAAATACATAAATTAAGTGCACACAGCTATAAAACAATGCATAACTGCATAAAGTATATAGAAAGCATTTGTTTAATAATCAATGCTGTAAAGCTAAAATAAACATTAAAGAAGATGACCCATAATTTCATAAATAACACATATCCCATTACGCATGTATATAACGTCTAGCTCAAACATCTGTTAAAATATCAAGAACATTTTAATTTATATTTCACAGCTTACCGTTAACCTATGACTTTCTTGTGGTAATTTTATATCATAATAAGGATTAAATGTAATAAATTTGTCTTATGATATGATACAGCGGCATATATGAGAACGTGACAACACGTACATGTACCGACTAAAACAGTTTAATACCATACATATTATATTAATGTGCAGCATGCAAACATCTATTGCTGTTGCATTTATTTATGTATGATAACTTTTATGATTTTGAAACAAAAGGAATATAAATTGAAAATAAATGCTCGGGCCTCCATTTCCGAATGGTTAAGATTGCTGACTTCAAGTCACTTGCCACTCACCGTTGTGGGTTCGAACTTTGAATAAGTTCATGCAAGAAAGGTATTCAGACACTTAGGTGGCCGCTCGTGTCTGAAATGTGCACCTTAAGTCTTGCTCCTCCAGTAAAGTTGGAAAGTCGTCATATAACTTTTCCAGTTTCGGTGTGACCCAATAAAACAAACAAACAAATGATAGAAAAGAAAAGCAATTAAAATAATTGCCAAGACTGTGTGATGATTTTATTCATTTTTGTTATAACGTATGTTCTTTTAGTTTACGATTGTAATAATTACAATGGGCATATTTATTAGAAGAAATATAGATATTATGATTACCTGCTTTTACGAATTCAGAGAAATGTTTCAACATGTCTGCTAGCTCTGTGTGACCGTGAATTCGTGCAATATCATGAGGCATGTGACCATCTTTATTCGTTGTTACGCATGCGCCGTACATAAGCGGGTTGCATAGCAACGCTTCGCAGAAGCTGGTAAGATTAAATTGGGCGCCAAAGTGAACAAGCGTTGGCCAAGCGGAACTTTTGTTTTCTGAAACAGAAATAGCATTATTTGAAAGTTTTAAAAGAAAAATGCAAAATTGTTATCCTTTCTTCTTGAAAGAGGAAGGGCTTTCAATATGCATGTAATTTATATCACGTTTTTTGTATACTATTAAAATGAGATTCATTAGACTATAATGAATCATTATATTAACCCCTAATCTGCTGATACCAAAAGTGATTGACCTTTGCTCTGGCCATCTCGCACATCGGACCAGATTCTTTACTGTTAGTAGATTTTGATACTGAAATCCCTTCAAATAAATGGTCTGTTCCAAATTCTAAGCCGGGCAATGCCATTATACAAAGTTAGCGGGTAAATAGTTAAACTAGATCAAACTCGTACATCTACTAGTTTTTCACCTTGTCGTATTTTTAAGCTTTATTGAGTAAACGTACGTTGTATTGAAAGAGCAACAATTTATTTCCTTTTGTTAATTCAAATTATATTTAAATAGAAAAATTAAACATCAGTATGTAAATAGTGTGGTAATGGAATGGGAAAGTACGGATTTCTTTGTAGTTTAAGAAAGGAAATAATTAAATCTTCCGGGTAGTATAAGATTATCTGTTTAATAAATAATAATCTAAAGGTCATCCGGTCACCCATAAACATTTATATTTTCTTCCTTATGCGAGAGAGTCAACATGGACAACCACAAATAGGAAACGAGATGAACACTCTCTTTTTAGATCTGTCATCAAAGTAACACCGCCTGTAAGTTTTACTGACCTTCTACTCAATTCATTAATTTAAGATATGACCCTCAAATAATTACAAATTTCCAGAAGAATTGCACATACCATGTGAAGTCTTCTCTGTGCCGGAGAATGATAAATGCCTGAGCGTCTCGACACACTGCACCATTGAAGTCATCTTTTCGTCCAGATGTTTAACTCCTTTATTTATTCCTAGACATTGACAAAGCATTTCTTCAGGGTCCGTCTCGTCTGCTAAGATTTTACGAATATATTCTAGTTTATTTGTGCGACTCATTTCCGGAAAAGCATGGTCTTCTCTGGAAACGTCGTCAATATTTACATATAACGACGCACGTGATTTTTCGTGAGATTTTGAAATTACAGTTCTACCGTCTTTAACGTCTAATTCATCTGTCTGTGTCGCTATTGATATACCCACTGCTCGCGCAGGGGCCTTAGATATGTTGGTGCTTTCAAATACAGACGATTCCATGCGATCTGTAGCAGACGATATTTGAACCAGTTGTTCACCTATCATGGTTCCGTCTTGAATGACCGACACATTTGTAGATTTCTTTCCTGAAAGTTTCGAGAAAGTAAAATAACATAGCCCTAAAAAAAAGCCTACTGAGATGATATTTCTAACTTTTTTCGTGCCAACAACAGCTTTGTGGGCATTCACTTTGATGTATCCAGAAGTAAACTTAAAATTGAGCAATCAAACAGCCGCCGAATATAAAGAACGACTATGATATACATACACTAACGTTCATATGAAAGGATGATAATTTAACAAACTAGAACATAGTAATATTTCACAGAAATTTTACAAACAAACGTACTTTACTGATGTCAATAGAAAAAACACATACAGTGAGACCTTTGCAGAGCGGCACTCATTCAACAACAACCAAAATCTTGGTTGTACTACAGAGATTGTACTGTATATTGTTTTAATTAAAATTTATCATAGTATTGACGGTGTTACAATCATATTCATTTTTAGTATTGTTCTGTTTTATTTGTTTTTCTTTTTTCTTCCCGAACGATAATTAATGTGATAAAAGTGACTTTCTTGTTGTCATTTTTTAGGTTTTAACAACTCAAACAATTTACGTAACCGAAAACATTATATTTGTTATCATTTCATTTGTTAAATTACTTTTATTGGTGATAACAGAGGTCGGGTCACATATTTCATAGAAAACATGCAGTCTTACTCATTGCTGTACTGTTTTATTGCTTTGATAAGCGGAAGATTTTAGACACTTTTTACAACCTGTATTAGATAGCGTTAATGGTTGATAATTGACTGTCTTTTGATAAAGACAGGTCAAATTAAATAACCTTATTACTTTTTTAAATCACGGGACAGTGAGAATTATGCACGTGACAAGATACGATTGGTCATGTGCTGTTTGTGCCAGGCAACGTATTCATCCTGTGTGACTTTATTATTCAGCGTTATCTGCTTTATGATATTATAAAGATCATCAGGCATAACTATATTACAGCATGATAAATTTAAACTAATTGGTTGGGACGACATGTAAGTGATTTTGAACAATGCATTAATTTCCTGATTTATATTTTTTTTAAACATGAATGGATCAAGTAAGAGTTTGCAAGTTCTACCAGAACGCATGTCCGTGCATGAAATAAGTCTTAATTCACACCAAATAAAGCTGGAAAATTTTAACATTATTTAAAGCTTTTCGTCATCCTAAAAATATGACGAAGAGACCCGTTAAAACTGGCCGTGACCTAAAAGTTCATGGTTTGGTCAATGAAATACGCGAGCGATGAGTAAATCATGTAAATAAACAAACCAGCCTCTGTTTTATTTATTATCATTATTTTATGACTCCCTTTTAATATATTGTCGTGTTTTTTTCCTTCAACTAAAGATATGCATGCTACCAGACGACAAATGTAATTGTATACGCGGTCGCTTGAGTTGACACGTATCATGTTCGAAATGTCCATTGTATTTTGTGAACATTTTGATGATTTTTATTCCTGTGAATTATATATGATACTGTGTATGGTATGACTATACAAAATAACAATAAGTTCAAACTGAATCATTGCTGTACGCATGGGAGACCTTAATTTGAATCATTCGCCATTTAGAGCCAGTATATTATGATGGCCTAATATTATCGTTAAATTTTAATATCGGCGGTAGTTCTTAGAAGAACTAATTTCCGAAACTTAGGAAGAAAATGACAGCCATCTGAGAGATCGTTGTAAATCAAAACGACATGGAAAAACACACAACAAAACCTTGCCCAGAACAGGATCTTGCAAATCTGTGGGAGTTGCATATACATTATACATATGTTAAGTGTGTTTTTATGAGGGTGTGTATTCAAATAATAATAAATTTACTTTTCTTCAAACACTTTCAAATTTATACCCTCTTCAAATATATGTATAACTGATCAAGTCATGTTAGTGAAACAGTTCATCGATTGGAATATCATTTAAGACGTACCTCCTAGATAATATAATAAAATATATTTGTAATCATATTAGAATAATGATAAGTGACAGTCACAGACAAAAAGTGAGTAAAGTTTAAACTCTGATAGACTTACCTTCATACTCAAGTTCGTACACAGCACAGTGGGTATCATCAGGTAATAACTCTTTGTTACCAAGTTTGACTTTCAACGAGCCCTCCGCTTGTCTCCACAATAGGAAGTACAACTTGCCATCCTGATAAAGTGAAGAATCAGAGAATAACTCGTTCAAAAACAGAAAGAAGACAATTTACAAATGAAACATTATGATGAAGAATAAAACATCATTGTTAACATCATTAGATGGCGAGATCTAAGCTAATTTCTAGCCGATTTTGTGCTTAGTTAAATAATATTTTTTTATGTGTTAATGTATATAAAATGCATGTATATTATATAAAAAAACAAGAAAAGAACAAATATAAATACAAATGAATGTGGACACGAGTTATAACAACAACCATAAGAGGTCACATGTTTTTTTATATGTCCATGAAATACTTTATTTGTATATAACTATTTAGAGTTTAAACAAATGACTATATATGCTTGGTAACCAATTTCAAATTGGTATTCCAACACAACTCCAATATATTCCTAAATGATTTGTCAAAAAAACTGACAAAAAACACTGTTAAATATTCTGTATATATAGGATTTATTCTGATCTGTTTTATTACGGTGAACTAATTGATTAATTTACCTTGTAAATCACATCTCGTAAACCATTTACTTGACGCTGTAAATTTGGAAGTTTATCGTAATTACCATCATCTTCACTTAACGTCTTTCTTAAAACATTTGGCGAACCTCGCATATTGTTGCTAGTTCTTTCATTGGATTTAAGAGAGAGTCTTTCATGGTATCTAAAGTCTCTGGGCTCACTTCCTATATGATGCAAATGTGGAGAGTGCTGGGACTGAGGGGACTCGGACATGACCCCTGACTGATGGGGGTCATTATCTTCATATTTTGTTATGATAAATATTAAAAGATCTCGAACCGAATCCTCCGTTTCCTTCAATTGAAAGATAAAGAAATCGTTCACATGGTCGAATTTATAATGTTTTGCCGATTCCTCTAAATCCTCTTGTTCTGTTCCTGTCAACACCAGAATGCATTTGTTTGTATCAACACTATTAGCCCATTTCCAGTCCTGATTTTCTAGAAAATCCGGCGTGACAAAGAACACATTTAGCACTGAAGACTGTAGACTGTGTTCCGACCTTTTGTTAAATTGAATTTGTTCACAAGTTATTTCATACTCTTTGGAGTGTAATTTTTTAAAGAGGTAATCAGACCAGTTATAACCGTCACTAACGTAGAATATTGATACGCTAGAATCCATATCTTCCAGTGAGGGTATTGAGCTCTGAAAGAAAATAACATATTAAGTATCTATTGCCCAAACTATAAAGCAGGACAAAACGAAACATTCTATGTGTCGTTGTATTAATGCCTTTTATTTGTTGCCATTTTTCATATTCACGTTCAAAAGATAGGTAAAAGTCCCTCAGAGCGTTTTGCATTTTAGGACTTTGTGGCGAAAAAGCGAAAATATGACAAAGTGTTAATCAGCTACCATATATCGTCAACGCAAAACTGGGCCTGCATATGTATATCGCATGATTTTTATTTACTAGCTGCCAATATTTGCCACTCTCCCTGAAAACTGTTAGTTGTTTTATTTTTCGGAGGTTGTACATTGCAGAGGAGACCCTGATTCTTTTACATATACCGACACATGGGACCTCTGTTTTACGATCTCATCCGAAAGACCATTAGTGTTGAAGCGTTGGATCGAACCAAAGACCCTGATGGATCCTCTCCCCTCCACCACTATCAATACTAACGGTATTTTGATGAGACCTTTAAAATGCAGGCTCTATATGTATCACGTTATTCACTAAGGATGCTTCATTCATTTCTTCCTGTTGCCTGTCATTGGATAAATTTCTTAATCAAAATCAAAATGTTTTGACAAGGTAGATAAAGACGTTTCATGAATGTAATCATTTTATAATAAATTGTTAACACGCTGCAAATAATCTGATATTTCGTTTAATTCAATAGTGATGATTGAATACAGTAATAAATGTATGGTCTTTCCTTATGCGTGCCATCAGGGAATCACACGTTTTCAAACGTGCTTTATTTAAATATATCGCAAAGAAAATCCCCCTCAAATAGTTTTTACAAAAAGATAACTAAATATGATAAAAGAAACCTACAATTTGCGATAAACTTAACTTGGTGCTTTAACCTTTAAAACATTTTATTTTTTGTTATGCTTTGTGCAAAAGAACGGTTTTTTAGTTTTCGTACGTGCTGAATTGTATAAAAATGAACAAAATGGTCCTTGACCGACATAACTTTTTTTAGTTTGGTTTTCGTCGCACCAACATAGTCATACTATACTGGTTGGGGATGACCTCAAGTGTCCCTCTGTGTATTATCACAGACTCGAGCGGGCATCTGAGTAGAACCCAAATCGTTCCGTAAGCTAGAAAAGCTTGCTGGATACTGTAGTTTGTTCGCATGGAAGAATTGAAAGTCCATAGCCCGACTCGAACCAACAGTGGTGAAGGCCAAGTGACATGAAGACAACGTCCTAAATCAGTCAGCTACGGAGGCCTCATGAAGGACAAGCCAGGTGGTATGTGAAACATAGATGAGAAATAGGCACGTTTAATTTATTAAATTATATTTATTCGGAAAGTTTGATTGTTTGATAGTGTGTGCGTATGTACGAGTAAGTAGATTTTTGTCAATCAGAACACCTGGGCGTTTATTCATAGAATGACAAAAAGGATCGATTTTCTTTTTAAATTCCTTTTTGTTGTATTTTATAAGGGTAGGGCGGAATGTAAAGGTTTTTTCTTCTGTAAAAAATGTACCGTACTTGCATACTTATATATTTAATTGAATTAATTAATTTTAAATCTAAAATAATGTGTTAGAATATTCCATATGATCGTAACTTATAACCCAACTAGAACTCAAAACAAAGGAAACTGGCACTTTTTGAAAAAATTATGTTCTCGGTGACCTGACGATCGTTACTCTGCCAGAACAATATCTTTTTTATTGCCATATTGACTGTTGACACTTCGATGTTCTTCAAATGTTCTATCGCGTGACCAGTTAGGTTTTGATTTGAAAACCATCGTTTTTATCAATACAGTATATACTATAACGATATAAACACATATGTGATGTATTGAAGTGGTGGATACAACAACAACACAACTTTACTAACGACATTTCAGCTGTACCAAGTTTTGGTTTACGTTCTTCTTATATTGAAATGATAACAATCATCAATACTTTCTCTTTATTTATTTCTGATAATCAACACCATCCACAAATCTTCGGCGTGTAAAAAGTTTTCTTAACCGGTAAAGGTGAAAAAGCACACATGCCCGAGATTTGAACTCATCGGTAAAAGCAACAATGTTACAGGGTGGAAAGTGCAATATTATCATCTAATACACAGATGCACTGTATGATAGACCAGGGGGACTTGTCTGTTCGTTAAGAGACCGCATCTGGAATATCGTTTTTACATAAAAATATATTATATACACTTAAAAGCGTGGGGACTTCGATCAAGTTACAGACCAGCGAATTAAGATAAAGTGATATTGTGACAACAGTCATCATGTTTTAATGAGATCTTTATCATCTTGCTAAAGGATTGTTTTCATTTTTTATGACTCTGCATCAAGAATGGACTCGGTGTATCCAAGGGGTGATCGCGTTCAGTCTTCAGCAACGCAGTGATTGTACTCTAGCGATGACAAAGTAACAATTACAAAGGATAGTTATAGGTATTATTAATAGTTGATTTATCCAGCTTCAGAAAAGAAACACTACACTTCAATACAGTCATTATTGTTTTAGTTGAACAAAGAATGTGACTAACTTAAAACAAGAATCATTCACATGATCAAAAGATAAAATGATACTGCTGAAATCAGTGAGAGCATGATACATGAAATTTGTTATTGTTTCCAGACATGAATGGCCATGGACACCATTAAACTCACGACAAATGCAATGTATTTCTATTTTTCTCTTTAAATCAGAGTGATGATCAAACTCTCAAGTATATGAAATTGCTATTTTTATGTAAATGTATTGTCACTTAGAAATTTGACTTCATGAAGTATATCATTCTTTTCACTGAAACAACTTCAAGCAAGTATGAAATAGATGAAAACTGTTGTGATGTGATGGCAGTCAAAGAGTCGCATCAATTTACAAACAATTTCCTTACACTTTCATTATCTCCATCATTTCTTAAAATATGTGTAATAACATCAAAAAAATGTGTAGGGAAACATATATGGAATAAGAAGTCCATAACTTTACAAGTGATAGGAAATTTTAATGAAAATAGAATTTCATGTTCTTGTTTGCGAATATTGAGTGAATCACAGATCCCCGGCAGTATGACTAAATCACTAAAATGGCATTTTGCTATGTTTTACTGTTCTTATAAAGTGTTGAAACTAGGATCGAATATAAATAAAATTGTTCCATGTGGTGTTACAATGATGATTTTGAAACCTTGAAAATCCTTTTAAAATCAAGCCCTGGATCTTTTAGACAAACAAAATGCATTATAACATCGAATTGTTGTGACTTCTTACTTAAAAAGAAACATTAAAAAGAAACAGAATCCATGTCTGTAATAAATTGCTACAAAAGAACACCTGTTGTGTAGAGTCTGTCCTGAATACTGGCTACTTAATACTCAGCTATGTATACTTACTAAATTAAAATATCTTAATATTTAATAATATATATTTTCTTATCACATAAACTAGGTTAGCAGTATGATAAATAATCTTCCGCACTGACTGCTTTAACATGCTCTTTGTGATATAAGTTATAAAAGATATAATTTATAAAATGAAACACATCAGTAAGCACTTCAGCCATATCATAAGTAAAGTTTGTTTGATAAAAGCTTTTATATTGCTATTGAGTTGGAGAAATATTGATTGTCAACTGCGATGTAAATCATATTGGCCGACTTAAATCAGGAAGTGTTTTTTTTTCTTTAACAAAAAATTTGGTGTACCTTATTTACTTAAAATATTTATCAATATATAAAAGGAATTCATTTTTCATTTCTTTTTACCATGCGTTTTAAAACTTCCTTAATGTTAGCTAAATGGAAACCAAAAATTAAGGTGACGAAAATGATATGGTTTACACACTGTAATATACATGTATATAAAACAGTTGAATACCTAATAGTAAGAGACTGTTTACTATTAATTAATAAGGTGATGTTTTACTTGTTTCTTGTATACGAAAAGTTCAACAGAAATGGACAAACAATTATTATAGCAGTGATACAAGTTGACAGTCTGCTGCTATTGCTGATTCTGCTGCGGTTGTTGTTGTTGTTGATGATTATGACGATGATAATGATGTTGTTATTGCTGCTGAAGATGGTTGCAGTTGTAGCATTGATAGTTAGTAGACAACGTTGGTGACAGATGATGGTGATGTTGGATATGGTGGTGATGATGATAATAAAAATAAGCGTTTTGTGACGACGACGACGACGACGACGATGATGATAATTATGATGATGATGATGATGACGACGACGACGACAAAGTTGATGATGATAAACAAGATGATGATGATAATGATGATGATGATGTTGGTGATGATGGAAATGGTGGTGGTAGTGGTGATGATGATGATGATGATAATGAAATTATGACGACGACGACGACGACGATGATGATTATGATGATGATGATGATGATGATGATGATGATGATGATGATGATGATGATGATGATAAAACTGATGCTGTTAATGATGAGTCCGATAAAGATGACGATGATGATATCGATAATAAGCCGATATAATAATAATAATAATAATAATTTTACTTGTGTAGCTTACATCTTACTATGAAAATAAAGACAGGATATTAACTGACTTGCAGTTTTATAAAAATTCTTTGAACCTGCATTAATTTATTTTGACATCGTATGCTGTAATTTAACTTCACCTGCATGTAACTTCACCTGTATGTCCTATTTGTATTTCAAATGTAAACTTTGTTTCTTCAAGATTTTAAGATAAAATATAACAGATGAAAATTTTGTTGGCTGGTTAGCGATTTATTATTATCTCTTTAATCTATTACAGCACAGTCAATCAATTAATCAATCATATATCGATCGATATCGAATTTGCCCTTAAATTTGTCGCTAAGTAGATCTGCTTAAAAAACTTTAAACACATCGTATCATTTCTTCTTTTTTTTTATTAATTAAATGTACTTCATAAAAAAATAATATTATTCTTACCTTTGTTATGTATATAAATTTTTGACTGTCTTCTTTAAGATTAGCTCTTCATTTAAACTACACTGTATCTTACACTTCGTTTAATCCGATGTAGACTTAACAATTTCATAAGCACGACTGTCAACTTGAGAACGTGTCATTCAACTAAATATAAATCAAAACTTCCTGTTTGGGGGTTACCCGAAAAAACTCTTTTCGAAAGATGAGGTTAAAATACCATGAAATGTTTAAACATACTTTTTACGCCGTTCTTTAATGATTAAACTTGTGTCTGGTTTCCCGTCTTTAAGACAAAATTCGGTGATCAAAACATATATACACCGAAGCCCAAAAAATAAAAAGGGATTTCTAATTAATGGGGCTTATAATCACATGAAGATTTTGCTGTGGTTTATAAAAAGTTAGCAAGTTTTTAAGAAGTGCATGTCCAAAGTCATTGAGAGCCCTAAAACATAAGGGAAGTTCTGCTCAGTGAGGGTGGTCGCTCAATTAAGTTTGACCGCTGTAGGTCACATAATTTTGTAGTTAATGAGCGGAAACTGGTTTCGTCATATAACATGCATAATTTGGATAAACAGTGAAGTGAAACATAATATATAAACAGGAAATTCTGAACGGAATTTATTAAGTCCAAGGGAAGGGTGTGGATGAGGATAATAATTGAAATTATTTGTTGGAAAGAAAACACCGGCACTAAATCACAGCTTTTTTGCAATGTCTTGGTTATCTTCGTTTACAATGTAATGTATATTTAAAATTTTGACCCACGTGATGCATTAGAACAGAGACATAGACATTATCTATGTCTCTGATTTGAAAAAAATATCTGGAAATGCAGGCAAACTGGTATTTCTTTAAGACTTTTTTTATCCCACGGCAGTAAATAAAGTCAATTTAACACTTAAGAAAACACAGCTGATAAAATAGCTCAAAAATTCTGGAAAATCAGCATCAATCATTTGTTTGTTATTACTTTTGCTTGTGTGTGTGTGTGTGTGCGTGTGTGTGTGCGTGCGTGCGTGCGTGCGTTTATATTATTACCATTTATTTTATTTAAATCTCAAGTCAGTGGTTGAAGACAATTCTAATTACCTGCTATAGTTTATTAAAAAGAATGGACGTTTAAAATTTGATGCAGCATTTATAAGAAAAACACATTAACGAAAAAGTTTTCAAAATTTAAAAAGATCATTATATAGTCTGTTCCAATATTGAACATGTGCTTGTTTGTTGGAAAAAGTTTTATCAATAAAATAATCCAAGTTAGTCGGGGTTATCTATATATAACAGTACTATTTACAGTTTGATATGCACTAACGTAATGAAATACGTAATTTAAACTATTTAGAGTGATAAATCTTACCAAATGTACGTGCTGTTTAAGCGGTATGGCATTGTGCCTTATAATATTAGACCAACATTACACGTACGTAGTTCTCATCGGTATTGGCACTCTTATACAATGTTACGCTTTGTCTCAACATAGTCCGATTAACAGTCTTTTCAATGTACAATCTACAATGGTAATGAAAAAAAAATTGAATAATCCTTACAACAAATGTAATTTTAAAAGGTTCAATCACAAAAACTATATTACCTGATGATAAATTGCACGATTCGATGCATATTACTTTTGCTACAACAAAAATATAATAATTCAGGTCTGGATTATTTACTCGCAATACACTAAAAGTTACTTCCCTTTGTTACGAAATCTACATTTGTAACTGTGTGTCACGAGTAAATATTTATTTTATTCATATCTAGTTGTTCCCTTATGTTTATAAGAAATTAAACAGTTCTAAGGACTTAAGATCCTGGAAAAACCGCTTCAGAGATCTGTAACAATACATTTTATGCTGAATGTTTGATACTGTTTTACTTTCATTTTCAACAGGTCAATGATTTTTTTTTTCAGTTTCAGCACGGGAGCTTGATATTCTGTCAATGAATAAGAATTAAAGTCAAATATATACATACATATTTGACTTGAATTCTAATTTATTTATACTTTCAATAAATAAGAATTAAAGTCAAATATGTATGTTAGTATTTACATATTTGACTTTAATTCATAATTATTGACAGAACATGAAACTCCTGTGCTTTCAGTCAGTAGAATCTACTGAATTTGGACCTTTTCCCGGACATGATCATATACAAGACTTTTTTTTAGATTTTTGATTTTGATAGTCTTTATTTGGTTATGAAATGTCTTTGCAGCATTACCCTATTTAATTTGATTAAGTCCAAACTGCCAAAGCATTGGAAAAAGACATCGCCCATTCAAAAATTTTTATCTTGATGTTTCTTTGACAGGTCTAATTAGTCGGACTACTGCAACACCAACAATTATTTTAATGAATAAAATGCTTGTAACCGGGCTTTGCTCAATAATAAGATAAATCAAAGATGATGTACAATCTCAATTCTTTACTGCATCTAGCTTAGGTGTGGCGACAATTCATATCACATCTGTAATTTTACATAGGCTCTGGAAATAAATAAACACAACATATTTTCTCTAAGGTAATAAGATGATATGACTAGATCATTGAAATCAACAATATATCATAATCTTAATATCATAACAGTCTATCATTGATATTTATACACAACTGTCTAACCTACACGAACAGGTAGGCTAGCGAAGTAGTAAATTACTAGTAAAGGGGAAAATGCTAAAAAATGACTCTATGGCACATAGTATTAGCTACTGGTCTTCAGGGTACTGTACCCATTTTATACTTTAACATGACTGGTCCACTGAAGAGGGAAAGTCCGTCAATTATCATGTTTTTCTACTGTACATTAATTTTCTTCTTTTAATTTCTTGCACTGATACCACCTTCACAAAATACTTAAAAGGGTGTGATGCAATACAGTTCTATATATAGATATGAATCTGGCACACTCTTATTCATTCATTGAGCATGGAGTAAAGTGAAGCATATCTAATAAAACTGTATGTATATAATCCTTGAATAAATTAAAAACTAATTTTGAACATAAACTACCTGATAATTTCTGATTTAGGTAACAAACTTTATCACTTTGCAGCCATCTTGTTTAGATGCTTGACCTCATGATTATTATATTGACCTTTACAGGTTAATCTGAATGAACGGTTCAAAAAAGAACAACATGCACTTTTGAATGTTGACAAATGACTTTATTTTTTAGAAATAAGAAAAGATGTTTTGGGGCTTTTAATAAAAGGGTAATGTAAAGATTTGCCACACTAACGATTCGCCACATAACGATTCGACACAGAGTATTAACGATTCACCACAGTTAAATAACGATTCGCCACGTGTTCAAATACAAACTTTTTCACACCTGTTTTCAAACTGTTGATGGAAAACATTTTCCCATTCTATATTTCATTTGTTAATTATATAAATTAATTATACTAAAAACAGCTTTTATTGAATAAAAACACATAAAAACCAAATATTTTTCACCAAAATTACATTACACATTGTAGATAAGCTAAACTTCGTTATTTATATAAACTGGAAAATTATACGAAAAACAGCTTTTATTGAATAAAGACAAATGAAAACAAACATACATGTATTTTATTACAAAATTTACATACACAGTGTAAATATGTTAAAAAAATTTAAAACTTTAACCTGGAAAAGAATACTAAATCAGCTGTTATTGAATAGAAACACATAAAACATATTTTATTACCAAAATTTCAAAAACTTTGTTATTTCTATAGCCAGAATATTTTTTACAAAAATAGCTTGTTTTTATAATATTTTTTTGTATTATTAATATCTCAACATTTTTTATTTCCAAAATAATATTATGATCCATATTTTTACATTATGAATGATTGTGATAGTTTACATCACAATCATTATTTTTAAAATAGATATTTCATATTTTATATCAAAATCTTGTTTCTAAATGTAGATTTCAAATATAATAGTTTTATTTTGGTAACTTTAAAATAGTTACAATTTTACTTAAAAATAGTGTTTTTCACTTCAGTTTTATTTTACATAAGCTTTCTAACAAAGACTTGTTAAAGTAACTTTATATCTTGCTTTAAAGCCAAGCTACAATAAGTGACAATTAGCACTTAAACAAACAAGTCTTGATAAGCAGTCAGCTTACTCCTTTCTTTTTCCATCCTTATCTAAATGCCTAAATATATGGTTAAACAAAAATAGTAACTTTTGCAGGAAATCATCCTAATGTTTCCTTCTTAGGACATTTTATACATTAATGTTTATTTGCATATGGTTTAACAGAGTTGAACAAAACTTCCAGCTTCAACTGTCCCAGTATCATTCGAAAATTGGACATTGAAGAATAAACTGGATTTTTAACTAATAAAGTGTTAACTCTGTTATTCCAGGTATGTACTTTTATTATATTTCATAATTCATTAAAGTTTATAAAATCTATTCTAAATAATTATGTAAATTGATATAAATTGTTAGGTGCTATGTAATAGTAATATTATAATTATTTGAATTGTTAAAATGGTACCTCTTATGCAAAGTGAGTTAATCTATAAAGCTAATTTCCCCATATTTGTTAATCAAAAGATCAAACTATTGTTAATTCAAATATTGTATTCTTATAATGATTTATTTTATAATGTTGTAAAATGTTATTTATGTAATCATTCGAAAATTGGACATTGAAGAATAAACTGGATTTTTAACTAATAAAGTGTTAACTCTGTTATTCCAGGGTTTCGTCGTAAAGGACTAAGAAAAGTCTGCCCATGATTAATTTATAAAAAAAGGACAACTGTCGTAGGATCATAAAATTAACATAACACATTATTCACAAAACAAAGTGACAAAAACTACATGTAGTAGTATCAAATTGTGAGGGAACTCTTATGCACAGTTGTTCACATTGTCAGAGAATTAAAGGATTATTTCGGCGCCAATTAAATATTTCTACAGCAATCCTAAGATAATTGTTTAAACTAAAGGTATGACAAATGTTTTAGATATGCGTTCTTTAATCAATTTTCGTAATGAACACATGTTTTTGCAATACCCATTTTTTTGTGTCGCCTCTACGGAGTAGTGGCGACATATAGGGATCACTTCTCCGTCGTCTGTCTGTCCGTCTGTCTGTCTGTCTGTCCGTCTGTCCGTC